AAGCGCCTCCTGATGCCCTTGATTCTCAAATCAAAACCTCGAGAAAAATCCACAGAGGTGCAAAAAAATATCATGCGATCGATTGTACCTTGGGGGCCGGAACCGGTTTCGCTCTCGGAAGGATCGATTCCTCCTTTGCCGGAAGCGTCGCGACAGGCCCCACCTCCGACGGGACTGTGGGCAGCACGAACAGCCTGACGATTCACGGTCCAAACACGCATACACACGCACGTGGGGGACATTGCGTGAGGCGATGGTGTCGGTTGAATGGCAAAGCTGTACACTCCGGAATATGTGCCACAACGCAAACCGCATAAAGCAGCACATGGATACAGGCTTAGACTCACTAGAACGCGTACACCGAGAGGGCATCATATTGACGATATACCAGAAACACTTTGTAAGGCCGCATAGCGCTAAGGGATTTGGCCGGCCACTATACCGGGCTCTTCGGAGTATGAGACAACTCGAATATTCCATCATGTATGCCACGCGATTCTACCGGCCTTATTCAGGGCGACTGGCCTTAATCATGCGGCCTTATGGAGAGAGCACTGCTGCACCCAACCCCCCACAAACTCCGCACGTGAACGGTCATGCTGCTGTGATGACGGGACATGCGTGTATCATCAGGGACTGGGGACATTAGGCAAGGTGTCCACCTCCAACCTTGCCTGCTGAAAAAATGGTTCTGAAAAAACAGAACGAGGTGAGAGTTGGTCCACCTGACTCCAACGAAATCCTCTGCTTCTTTTCTTGATACTTTTCTACACCGCAGGATGTTCTTCACATTCTTTTTTTGTGCCCGTCCTCTTGAGGAAAGCTTCACCTATTGATGAGCGACTGCACCGCGGCTTGCGCCTGCCCCTTGAGGTACTCCTCGCTGTCGTCCGCCAACGCTTGTTCGTCCACTTGGTGAGGGTTCACCACCAGTAGATTCCGGAGATCAAACTGTATTTCATTCGAGCGGGAGAACAAACCAGTTTGGAGGGGGGTACGACAAAAGGAGGTGTGTTATTAATTTAAATAAATGCACACACAGAAAGACTGCCCGTTCAAGAAATACACACATTCGAACGGGATGTGGTGGAGTCTTTTCAGTGAGTGGAGAAAAACCGGCTGGGTACTGTACGTATTTCGAGTCTACGTAATGTACTTCGCCGTGGGTCAAGACGCCGGTGACCTTTTTAGTCGAAGATCCAATCCCCACTTCGTTCCAAAACATCGAGAATTCAAAATGCTGTGCACCAGGCCATGAGCTTGTTTTGGCTTGCGTTCGGAGAATCTGGTTGCCTTGCTGGTGCTTGGGCTGTTGCTGTCCGTGTTGCTGATACAATCGTCTTGACAAAAAACAAACCGACCTAAATTCCGAAGTATTCGCGTACCCTTGTCCATTCCGTACTCTACAGGAAAGAAAATGTTGTTTGTACATAAGAGACCAGGCTCACGAGAGCTTTTGGCTCGGCATGAAGTTCGTGCAACTACAGCAATAGACGCTATTGCAGACACAGACAGCCATTTGTGGATGGAGCGAGGTGTGTTCCGAATCCGTCGAGTTGCTCTCTGCGCTGTTGGTGAGCCTGATGGCAGTATAGGTAGGAGTTGGTGCTGTATACGCAACGCATCAGCCGTGTGACAAGGGTACGCACGCAGCCTGTTTTGTGACAAGGGTAAGACTGCTGCCGCCCAGGCTGCGCGCTTTGCGCAGCGTCTACGGCACTAACTCCTACCAAAAATGCCATCAGTGGGCTCAACAAACAGCGCAGAGAGCAACTCGACCGATTCGGAGCACGCCTCGCTGCGTCCGTACATGGCTGTCCCTGCCTGCAACAGATATACTGACTGCTTGTTGTACATCATTATATATAGCTCTCTTTACGGGCTAAACACTAACAGCGCGTGGTTTCATTGCACCCCAATCGAGATATGACAAGCACTTGAAACGACACACAAGCACAGCAGTAGCAATAGGACGCCCGTCTCTGTCTCTCTGTCTTCGTATGATCTGCCTCTCTGTCCACTAGTCCACTGCTGAAATACTGGCTCTATCTTGACTCCTGACAAGGACTACCGCCATGCTAGTGTCTTTCGAGCAGACAAACAGAAGGGGGGGGGGCGGGGGGGGTACACACTGCCTCAGACCTGTAGGTCGTCTTCCACATCCTGGTGCTCTCCGCCTTCCTTGACTAGCTGCTCGAACGCCTTTGGAGCAATGTCGGCCGCTGCTACCGCCATTGCTGCTGTCTGCCGTAGATATCGTAGGGCGGAGGGTTGCTGCAACCACCAAAAAACTCTCTTTCGTGGAGCCCGTTCCTGAAACTGATTTCTTCAATCTTGAGCGCGAGCGCAGCAGTGTTGTCACAGGTCTTCGGTTCTAAGCCTCTCTTCTACGCTCTCTCTCTCTCTCTCTCTCTCGAAGCAGAGACCAGAGACGTCACGTGTCCAAGTGTCCCCTTGCAGCTGCACTGCGGGGGCACAACAGACAAATGTAGCGACATATGTATCTTACAACAGGGATATTGCCGAGCCTCATACTACATGGAAGGCGTTCTTCAGGAACACAGATTTCCTCCCCGGTGGCCGTGGGCCGAAAAACTCCTTTCGACCACCTCTCTCTCCCCACTCGCCGAACGAAGTAGTTTGGGTGTGTGGGGTGCTTCGCGTAACTAAAGCGGGAGCGGAGAGAGGCGCACGCACGGATCAGGACGCGAAAGGTTCAGGGGGGCAAGGATAATTCCACGCTCACGCTCAGCCGCGCTTGGGTAGCAAGCTCCCTCTCGGACGAAAAGAGAAAGGAGAGAGAGAGGAGAGAGAGGCACAGAGAGAAAAGGGGGCGGCCCGCCGCGCGCTCTGGTTCGGAGTTCACAGCTCCTTGTTTCCTTTTAGGTAAGACATGAGTGCGAGGCTTAACACGGGCAGTGCACCGGGGGAATGGGTGGAGGGATGGGTGTGTATGTGAAGCGTTGGGTCTTGTTTCCCGCCGCCGCCGCCCTGCAGAGGTGGCAGCGTAGTGTCTGCCCCGTTCTGAGGGACCCAAACAGCAGTCACGTCCTGTTTGTCTCTTGCGTAGTTGTATCGGAGGTTGTTGGATTCCCTCCTGCCCGTGGGGGTGTGTGCCCCCTCTTGCTCTTGCCGCGGCATGCAGCACGCGGTCCAGCGTTGCGTGCCGCCTGATCCTAGTGCTAGTGTCCCTTCTTCCACACGGCCGCCCCCCGCAAAGATACCTGGTTGTTCTTTGGGCTAATTCTGCGCACCGAAAAACGGCCTCCCTCTCTACCCTAGACACCCGAGGAGAAGGGAAAAAAAAAAACGAACACACCCGGCCAGGCGATTCGCGGCGTGTTCTGGGTCACGGTGCTCGGCAGAAAAAACGCCACGGGCCCGCCTACAGTAGTGCGGGGCCGCAAAGAGTTTGCTCGCTCTGACAAGATAGGCTTCAAGGCATGCTGCCGATGCGCTGAGTGAGCATCCGCGCGACCGGAGGCGGTTGCACTGCCCCGCCGATCGATGCGAAGCAGCTTTTTCTCTTTCTTTTCCTCTCTCTCTCTCTCCCCCTCGATCGCGATTTTTCGTTGGCGACGGTCGCGTGATCGTTCAGCGAATCTATCACAATTGTTTATTGTTCGGATGGGGTCAATATATGTAGTGTTTACTGCTGCTGTGCATGGGCCCCTCGAAGCTCCGGGCTCAGTCGTGTATACATTAGTGATTAGGGATACTCTAATTGTAGTAGCTTTTTGGACGCTGAGGGTCGACACATTGTACGCTCTCGGTGGGTGACAATTAATCCAATCGGCGTGTTCGGTAGATGTTGTCATGGGGCGGTGCCTTCTCGCATGTTTGACATGGACGGACCGCGTGGCGATACCTACTCACATTTGTGGTAGTCTTGATGGCGTTCGTTGGGACACAAGATCGCGTTGGTACGTGCCAAAACATCCCTCGCGACCCCACACCGCAGACAGCGGCGGACAAAAGACTTCGCCCACCGCGCGAAGGGTATGGCGTTTCCTCTCTTTCGTGTGTTGCTGTTCACCACCTCCACAGCAGCAATTAATGTCAGCGCTGTAATATGTCGGTTTACGAGAGAACACACTGCTGTTGGGGTTATTATCTCAACAAACGTTTCGTTTAGTCGTTGCGTGTGAGATGATGCCTTAACTGCCGTCGTTCCACTGCAAACTCCCCGTGTGTCGATGGAAGCACGACGAGATGCACACGCGGAAGATGCGGGATACGGCGCTGCTTCCCTTTTTTTTTTTTTGTCCGCGTTTTTGGCGCCGCTTGTTGTCCCTACACATGGCAGGCGGAGAGCAGCGGTCCATTCCATGCTACGAGAGTGTCGTGTGCCCAAACACTCCGAGTCTCTTGCACCCACCGTAAGACGTTGTATGGGTACCTTGGCAGCATGAAGAAGCTTTCTTTTACCGCCACGATAAGAGTGAGACGGCCCTGGTTTGTGTGTTTTCTTGCCCGATATGCGGGGAGCCTACGGTCTGATCGGACCTCTAGGAGCAGCCCGTTTGGCATCGGTGCATCGCGAGTTGTGTCTTGTTCGCGTTAAGTTTTTCAAAGGGTCAGGACAGGCAACAGTCGAACCATTGGACAGGCACTGCTGCTATTAGTACGTTGACAACCATGGCACACATCACAGCAGCACCGGCAGCATGTATTCCATGCGAACACATCAGAACTCCCGCGCTCTGCCGCTCGACATGTATCCCCCCCCCCTCTCCCCCTCGTGTTATCGTTTATCGACCCCCCGGACCGATGGTGTTCAGAGCGAGACAAAGTACTTGCCGAAAAACAAATTCGAAATCAGCATTTCGATCACGCAAGAGTTTGCATCTTGCTGCATGCACTTGCACCGCGCCACCCAGCAGTTTATTTTCATGTGTCTTGATGCAGAGATGTCGATTTGATCCCTCTGCCGGTGCCCCCCCCTCGATGGGCGGACGTGCGTTCAGGGCAATTGAGGAGAGAGCCGCAGGGTTTCAATTCAGGGAACGATGTGTCGGGGATTCCTCTCTCGCCCTATGCGTGTTGTTGTTGTTTTTTGTTTTCACGTTTAACACCGTTCCGGCTGTACTGAAAAATGAAATGCTCCAATTGTAACGACGGAGCCGGGTTGACAAAAGCGAACGTGAAATCCGAGATTGCTGCGCAAACGGCGACAGACGCGGCATGCGTGCTGTCACTGGACCGGCTCTCGTATTATTCCCAATTTGTGCCATGCCTATGTACCGGTACGCTTGCGTTCTGCCTGAAAAGGGCTGACCGCGTTATCCACTGATGGAACCCGCTGCATCGACAAAGACTGCGGGTTTACTGCGAGTTGTTGCAGCGGTCGACCAGAGCGCGCGAAATGCGGAGAAGACAGTAAACGTGGAAGACACGATCTCACTGCAGGGGCAAAACGCTTGCTTTTGCTTCTTAAAACGAAGTACATTTGAAGAATGGTCATGCCGAAGGTCTGACCAGTGTGTCTATAACACCGAGCCCTGAGCTTCGACCTATCTACGGGAAGAGGGCGAACAGACCGCATCCGCTGCCCGGCGTCCCTTCCGCGCTCCTCTTGACCCTTCCTGTTCTACCGCTCCTCGCAACAAGCTGGATCTCGATATTGTCTTGGGGGCTGCAACACCTTTCGACACCGTGAGGGACTACGTGTCCTCCTCGTCTTCTCTTTGGTCCTTGTCTATGGAGGCGTAATCTTGAGCAATCACTGGCGATGCCTGAACCGCCAGTGTTGGACTCGCAATCCTTTTCCTGGTTGGAGCGACGGCTGAGTAATGACTAGCCGAGGTTGCGCTCCCCTCTGCTGCAGCCGCTTGCACTGCCACGCGCACGGGAACCACGCTGCTGAGCACCTTGGCTAGGCATATGCCATCTCGGCCAAAGTCACGCTCGGAGCAAGACCTCTTGAGATCTGTCCTTTCCGGCCTTCCCATCTCTGGTGGCTTTGGCCTTGCTCCCATGACTAGTGTTCGCCATATGGACGAGTTCATACATATAGTCCGGGTCATGCACGTTGCAACGAGGGTCAAACGGCCACATAGGATCGTCGATCTGATTGCCGCGTTACCCTGCCTTGGACACCACCGCAGTAGAATGATCGACTCGCCCATATGGCGACATAGTCGTCGGACGAAGCGAAAGCAGCAACAGACGGGCCGGGCGGGAAGTAGAGTTATCAAGAGGCGGTGCGCCTGGGGCCGAAACGAGCGTGATATTGGCCTCCTGCCCCAAGCTTCTGAGCATCAGGGCAAGCGGCAGCGGCATGGTGGGGGTGGAGTGCAGCCTCCGCTAGACGTTCCGCTGCAGCCAGGAAAGGATCGCGAGTTTCAGGGCTGACGATTCAGGCGTCGTCATGACAACGTTCCGGTTCTGAAGTAGAACAACTGAAGGGAGGAAAAGGAGTATTCCCCACGGCGTGTGACGGTGTTGCGGCCTCAAGACGATACGGAAACCCAAGCGTGCGAGGAGGGGCTTCGCAGGCAGGGCCAAGAGGAGCAGCGGGAGGGACCCCGGGAAGCGGGTGGTGCGGTGTTGTTGACCCTCTTTTCCGCCTCGTCGCGACGGCGGTAGAGGCGTTGCCCACTCGGCCTTGGTCTTGGGGGAGGCAGATGAAGGAACACCCGGCCCCTCGAAATGGTTTGGGGGTTGGCAGACAGGAGAAGGGTGGTCGGGGATACGGGCAGGTCGGGAACCGGAGACCCGGGGGACGTACCTACGGCGCAGTGGGCTCTGTGAAGAATCACGCTCACATTTTTTTGTGATGCTCTGGTAAATGTAGGCCCGCGATCTCCTCTGCTGTCTTGCTCGCGGTGCCCTCACCGCTAAACTTGGAAGCAACAACCTGGTGTGTCGCCGAGGTATCACTTTGTTTGTGCGCTATCTACTTGGGCCGCTCTGCTCGACCGCCGGGGCATATATACATGCCACAAAATTAATACTTGGAAGTGATGGTTACGTGTAAACCCCCCCACGTGCGCAACCTCTTTTGCGAACCAGAAATCCGGCAGCAACGGTTACAGTCCTGACACGCATTCATTCATGCGCCACAGTGTTTTTCCTCGGTCAACTCACGACGTCCAATGAGGGGCACGCAGACGAGAAATACCCAGTCGTGCATGCCTCCCTGTCACGACAAAGGGGCTCGGCGCATGTGCTGATGTCTTTGCGATTTCGTGTCGTTTTTGGCCTCAACATCTATTGCAAGAGCGGCAAGCATTGGCTGTCGATGGACCCTCGGTAATTTAGGATGAAGTAGACGCCGTGGCGGCGCCACAGGAATATTTGACAATGTTGTCTTTCGACACGTTTTATGTAGAGCCCGAGCCGGGGCGATTTTTCGTTTCTGCAGTGGAAGCTACTGTGCGCGGAACTAGAGGGTCGACAATATGAAAGAAGTGGAATCGCCGGCGCACAATCCCAATTGTACTCCATGCCTAACTCAGGGTTTGATGGAGAGCCGCCTTTCACCAAGACATATTTTCCGTACGTACACTATTGAGGACTCAGGTTTCCATGTACTACTACATGTGGTAACATTTTACGGTGACGTCACTTTGCAAGAGGCTAGAGGAAGAAACGACGTTTAACGCTCTTGGTCTGCATCAAACCTCGACGTTTGAGCGTCGCCACGCTCCCTTGGGGTGTTCGTTTCCCTTGGACGGGGTGGGTGTTGTAGCCAGCTTCCCCACGATTGTTCGGATACATAAATGGGGGGGGCGGGGGCGGGGGGGTGCGATGTCGTTGGGTCTGGCCCTCGCCACAGATATCGCCCTCGGAAATCATTGCCTTGCTTCTTGACGACGAGAGTCGATGAACTATCACCGTGGTTCATCAATACAATAACAGCAAGAGCTGTCAATAGTGTTTACCGTGGGACTCCGTCCCCGACGTCTGTGCGGGAAGTCAATGATGATTCGTTTGTCATTTGTTCCCTAAGCAAGTGGTAATTCGTTGTGAATCCTGCCCCCCCTTCCCTGTTCTGCCCCACTCACGCTTAACTGTCCGTGCTTTTGACCCCGATCCCCGGTTTTGATGCTCGGTGCTCTGAATCCACAGGAGGCGGATAAATCATCCCAAACTATACCCCAATAGAAAGTACCAGCAGCAGCAGCAGCAGCTGCAGCAGGCAGAGTTAAGCAAGAGGGGGCGAACATTTCTGCTCAGGGGAAAAAAGGCGCGGAAGAAGAAGGAGAGACAAGGCGGTCGTCGGTCGCTGTCGTTCCGCCTCCCCCTCCTCGCCGCCGCCCGCAGCCGGCTCTTCCACCTCAGCAGCAGGCCAAGGCCAAGGCCAACACTATCACCACCTCCGACACCGTTATCCCGCTTTCGCCTGTAGCGGGGCGGGACTCCACGGGGAGAATACAGGAGGGCCGAGCCAACGACCACCCCGCAGGTGTGTGTGTAAAAGTAAAACGATTGCTTGTTCATGTGGTTGCTTTTCCGTTTTTTTTTTTTCTGTGCGCCTACGCTCCTATATGTAGTACGTTTTCCCGTATCCACCTCGCCCGTGTCACTTTCCTGTGTTCCATATGTTGGTGCGTGTGTGTGTGTGTTTTTTTCATGTGTTTGTTCATTTGCATCGACCTGCCATCCTTCGTTGCCCACTAAAATCAATCTGCGCCCCCCTCCCCCACCCGTGTATGTGTGTGTCCGATGTTGCACTCAGGGGTATCTCCACCGCCGTGCGGTCGCCGCGTAAAAGGAAGTACTGTGGCAGGAACAAACGAGGGCGCAGAGGCTAGGGCAACCAAGAGGTTAGTTATAGTTGGGGTTGAGACGGCGTGTTCTTGTGTGTGTTGCGTCGATCGTGCTGTGTAAATACCTGGCCAATGGCACGGTGCTATCCTTGTTCGATCGTGCTGCGTAAATACCTGGCCAATGAAAGGGTGCCATCCTTGTTTGCGGGACAAAACAGGGGCCCCCGCAGAATATTTGCTTCTTTCTTTTTATTTCAGTTAGTGTCGATGGCGGTATGCGACTGACCAATGAAAAACGGACTTGGCATACAGAGCGGGATAGAAAAGGTCAACATAATGTGTGTGTGTGTGTGTGTTTTTCCTTTGTTGACGTCGACAGCGCTCTAACTGGCTGGCGAATGAGAATACGTCAGTCCTACTAGCGAGATTCAGACGGAATTTTTTTCGAAGTCCACATGATCTGCCTGCGACTTTCGCCGTCTCCCACATTTATTCGCCATTTCTGTTCTTTTTTTGACGCTGCTGGTGTATTTATTTCCCGTCTTTCTTGCCTGGATGGTGTGCGGGCGGCATCCACAGGAGGCGCAAGACCTCTCCTAGCACCACCTCCGCTGAAGAAGCGGAACGAAGCGCGATGGAGCTTCGAGTGGGGAAGAAGTACCGCCTCGGTCGCAAGATCGGGAGCGGGTCCTTCGGGGACATCTACCTGGGGACCAACATGACCACGGGAGAAGAGGTGTGCAGTATGTCACATACCTAACCCCATCCCCAACCCTAGCCCGTAACCTACGGACGGGAGAGAGTGTATTGTGTATACCTAAAGCTAAGGCTAACCCTGACCTACACGGGAGTTATGTATGCATACCTACCCCAAGCCTAACCTAACCTAACCTATGGACGATGTGGGGGGGGGGGGTAGCTGAAGACGAAGCAGTGTTGTCATTGGAAGATGCGATGCGATTCCTATTGTATCATAAAACAAAAATATTTTTTAGTCATGATAATTTACGTTGAAAACTGCTCACTGCTGTTCGTTGATCGTTTCAATGAACAGGTGGCCATCAAGCTGGAGTCGACAAAGACGAAGCACCCTCAGCTGCTCTACGAGTCGAAGATCTACCGCATATTGCACGGTGGATGTAAGTGTTGTTTATTCTCCCTCTGTTTGCGCCCGTTATGTGCTCGACGCCTCGCCTAGGTCTGCGGTAGATGCCTGTTGGGAGACCCTTTAACAAGAACCGAGAGGGAAGCTCGGAAGAAATGCGTCCTGATGCTGGCCCGCTGGTGTTTTTTTATTTTTAATGTTTGTTGTCGCGGGAGAGATTGAGCGGTCGTTTTGTTGATTCGCGGGCACTGCTTCTGCCAGCCGAAGTGTTAGCACGCAGCACCATAGTTTTCATGGTTGATTGTATAGGTTTATCCTTGCGAGAGCTAGACACCTCCTTGTCGATTTCTAGGGGGCTTGTTTTTATGTTTCCGCTTCCGCTGTCCCTCAGCGTGTCTCTATTGTATTGTCGTCATTTTCACTCCTGCTATTCCCCTGTTCTTGCTGCTTCCCTGACGTTTTTTTTTTTGCTTGTAGTGGGTATTCCCACGGTGAGATGGTACGGTGTGGAGGGGGACTACAATGTGATGGTTCTCGACTTGCTCGGGCCCTCGCTAGAGGACCTGTTCAACTACTGCAGCCGGCGTTTCAACCTCAAGACGGTGCTCATGCTGGCGGACCAGGTATTTATGCCGTAAACCATGATAAGAGACTTGTTTCTGTTTGTCTCGGTTCTCGTGCTCTTGTGGATATCCTCCCCAAAACCGAACATTGAGAAATAAAAAAAGATTGTTTGCATTTTGCCCTTGCCCGCCAGACTTTGCTCACCCCCCCCGTCTATCGAATTGCCTCCCGGACGCACGAAATGGCTGAGGCAGTTGCTGAGCCGGTTGGAGTACGTGCACACAAAGAGCTTCATCCATCGGGACGTGAAGCCGGATAACTTCCTAATTGGCCTCGGCAAGCGCCAGAACATCATCCACATCATTGACTTCGGTGAGTGAAGCAGGCTTGTTCGGCAGCCCTACCAAGGCGTGAAACGTTGTGTGTGTGGGGTGTTAGTTCATGTTTGTTGTCATCTGCCGCACGGAGACGTGGTTGTAGCTCTCTCCTACGTTGATTGTTCGGAGTTTCGTTGCAGCAGCGAGGAGGACAAAACCTGTATGGAGATACCTCATGATCCTCATTACAGCAGAAACTTGACCTGAGCTTGCACGAGCAACCTGTGTTTTATGGGTGATGTAGATAGGTTTGATTTTTGGCAAAACAGTAGTCGTTGTTTGGCTGTTGATTTATTGTTCCGAGTTTTGTTGCAGCAGCGAGGAGGACAAAACCTGTATGGAGATACCTCATGATCCTCATTACAGCAGAAACTTGACCTGAGCTTGCATGAGCAACCTGTGTTCTAGATGGGTGATGTAGATAGGTTTGATTTTTGGCAAACAGTAGTCGTTGTTTGGCTGTTGATTTATTGTTCGGAGTTTCGTTGCAGCAGCGAGGAGGACAAACCCTGTATGGAGATACCTCATGATCCTCATTACAGCAGAAACTTGACCTGAGCTTGCATGAGCAACCTGTGTTTTATGAGTGATGTAGATAGGTTTGATTTTTGGCAAAACAGTAGTCGTTGTTTGGCTGTTGAGGTCTCGTTCCGAGTTTTGTTGCAGCAGCGAGGAGGACAAAACCTGTATGGAGATACCTCATGATCCTCATTACAGCAGAAACTTGACCTGAGCTTGCAAGAGCAACCTGCATCGTGGCTTATTAGATGTCTGTGATTTTTGCATGGCGGCAGTCGTTGTTTGCTGATATGGCCGCAATGAAACATCGCTTTAGCTTCTACTGTTTGAGGTCATGCTCCGAGTTTTGTAGCAGCAGCGAGGAGGACAAATCCTGTATGGAGATCCCCCGTGATCCTCATTACAGCAGAAACTTGACCTGAGCTTGCAAGAGCAACCAGTGCTTGGACTGATTGGATAGCTTTTACTTTTGCTTGACGGTGGTCTTTTTTTGTTCATGTTGCCGCAAAAAATCAGCGTTTTAGCTTGTACCGTTGATTGTTTTGTCGCGATTCGTGTTGCAGCAGCGAGTAGGACAAAAACCTGCGAGGAGATTCTCCGTGATCCTCATTACAGCAGAAACTTGACCTGAGCTTGCGCAAGAAGTAACCTGTGTTCGGGCTGTTGAGATAGCTGTGGCGTTTGCATGATGGTGGTCGTTGTTTGCCGATATCGCCGCAAGAAAACGTGGTTACATCTCATACGGTTGGTTTTTGTCGCGATTTTTGTTGCAGCAGCGAGGAGGACAAACCCTGTATGGAGATACGCCATGATCCTCATTACAGCAGAAACTTGACCTGAGCTTTTGCGAGAGCAAATTTGATTTGGATCGCATATCGGAGCACGATATTTGTAGACGGGACAGCAGTTGCTTGGGCAACATAATTGCCCAATGGTGATGTGGCCAGTAGTGTTTCGATAACTTGGCCTTGTTGGATCCTCATTGCAGCAGAAACTTGAATGGGCTGCATGGTTTCGTGATTGTTGTTGTTGTTGCCCTTCTACCGTGGGTAGGGTGGTGTCTCCTCGTTGTCAGCGTCGACCGCGCTAACCGGCTCACCCATGTCATTCTCAGCGTGCCTACCAATGAACAACAAAGCTAGGACCATGATTTGGGGGCCGGTACGGGCCCGTAAGGAGGAGTCGCGTCGGAAGCTAGAGTGCTGTTTTCTAAATTAGCATCGACCGCGCTTATCGGCTGACCAATGTAAACACGTCAGTCAGTGTTGTTGCGGGATAGAAAACTAAAACCCCGTATGTAGTGCTTGTGTTTATTAGCATCGACCGCCCTACCTGGCTGACCAATGAAAAGACGCCAGTGCCAGCCGGGAAAGTGTTTGGTGTGTGTTTTGTGTGTTGTGCTTGTTCTTGGCACTGTAATAAGTCGTGTCTCAAGCGGGTTAATCTGTTGCATCAATACGTTCCGAAAATGGCGGTCTTCTTTGAACGGGAACATTGACGATGAAGACAGACCAGCCCGCAACGACTACTCTCACAAACGGCGGCAACATCAACAACAACGACATGTGTTCCCTTCCGTGTGCTGTTACCTTTTATTAGGTTTGGCGAAGAAGTACCGGGACCCGCGGACACACCAGCACATCCCGTACCGCGACAACAAAAACCTGACGGGTACGGCGAGGTATGCCTCCATCAACACGCACATCGGGATCGAGCAGAGCCGACGGGATGACCTCGAGTCTTTGGGGTAAGTAGGGCACCGCACCACTTAGAACCACTCCGTGGAACGTTCCGTGGTCCTGAGAGGGAAGAGAGAGAGTTGTGTTCCGAGATCTGTTCGGTTTTACTTTCCGTGGTTGTGGGAGAGAAAAGCTGTTGTATTCCCTTGGACGGTATGTCGACGCTTCGTACGCGTAGTTGTTTTTAGGTGTTTGTTGCACGGAAATGGCATGGGATGGGCAGAGGTGGCCTGAATTGTTGTGTGTTGGAAACCATAACGTGGCACAGAGAGAGGGAAAAATTGTTGTCGCTCCGTTTGAACCGTCTCTGGACGCTTCGTGCGCGTGGTTGGTTTTGTTGTTGGTTTTCAGGAAATATTTTCATGAGCAAACCAACAAACTTACTGTGGACACGGTTGTCTAATGTGGTCATCTCTCACTCCCCCCCCCCCCCTCTCCCTCTCTTACTTTTTTTCTTTTTTGTGTCTCGCGCTTCTGTCTGTGTCGGCAGGTACGTGCTGATGTACTTCATAAGGGGGAGCTTGCCGTGGCAGGGGCTGAAGGCCAACACCAAGAAGCAGAAGTACGAGCGCATCATGGACCGCAAGATGAGCACCTCCACGGAGCAGCTGTGCAAGGGCTACCCATGTGAGTCTCGCCGCAGGTCATAGGTGGGGTACCGTTTTTTCCCCCTACACTGTCTCTCGCGCGCTGTCCCAATCGTCCTAGAAGCCATGACGGTCGATGTCCGGGAAGCTAAATAGCTGCTCGAGCACTACCTTCGCGGGGAACTTTTGCCCGAGTGCCCCCCCCCCCCCGGCCCGCTACTGTGTTGCTTGTCTCACGATTGCCGCCGCCTACTTCTTGTTGATATTGCCGGTTGGCCCTACATAGCTTTGTCGTATTCCCTTTTTTCCTGTCTTGGGACTGCCGCCACCATTCTGCCGGCGTGCTTTGTCCCGCCCCCGCCCCTCTCATCTTCTTTCCCACTCTGCCCCCCTGCCACGTTCGCCCGCCTGGCTCTCTGCCTCTCACAGCGGAGTTCCGGTCGTACTTCGAGTACTGCCGCTCGCTTCGCTTCGAAGACCGCCCAGACTACGCGTACCTCAAGGTCAGTGGGTGAATGAACGAAGACTTGCATGAAAGCCTGAATGAACGAATACTTGCATGAAAAGCCCTGATTTTAGCCGCAGCCTTCGGAGGGTTTTCCTACTCACTAAATAAGCGTGTTGGATAAAAGCATGCAATCGGGGAAGTTGGAAGTCGGGTTAGGGTTAAGGGGTGATATATTCTGCGTACCCCCTCCCAGTTCTATTTCCTCGTAAACTTTAATTTATCGCGAAGGCGGTCCGATTTTAGCCCCAGCCCCTCTCGAAAAGACGCTTACCCACCCTCCTTCGTGAATGGGACGAATCCACGGGAGCACGCACCAGGGAGCAGCTTAGCCTCCCACGTGGCACCCCATCACGGGTTCCCAGAAAATGGCCTTCAGAAGCGTTTTTGTTTTTTTGCAGTCGCAAGGAGACTGGCGTCTTTTCATAGGTCAGCCGGTTGGTGCGGTCGGCTTGGTCTATTTTATAGCAATTATGCAGCAAGATACGCCACGTTTTTTTTGCTGGTCGCGGCAGGGGACCCTGGCTAGTGCGTCAAACACGTACCGGAACATGCAGACGGACCTCCAGAGTCGATGAGACAAACACTGTTGTATACAAACATGTAACCCCCCCCTATGCTCGTTTCTCTCGAGGACGCATGCAATGGTCTAACCGCTAAGCTAAACATGAGTACGCTTCTCCCCCCCCCCCCTCGTTTTGTCATGCTTTTACCGGAAAACCTTAATCTTACGCAGCGCCTGTTCAAGGAGCTCTTCTACCGGAAAGGGTTCCAGTACGACAATATGTTCGACTGGACCGTCCTCAACTTGCAGAACGAGCGCTGCCGCACCGGCGGTGGGGGGGGCGGCGCGGACCAGCGACCGGTGTCGGCACCCAGGTGGGCGTAGTTGAGCGTATGTAGTTATTTTTGCACATGTATGCAGAACGCGCTTGCTCTTACAATACAAGCCTCTAGTTTTTGGTCCAGGGTAGGGTTTGTCGTTGCAATATAGGTCATGCTACGGATGGCCGCTATGTAGTGTAGTGGTTCTTTACCGAGCTCTCACCAATGGTGCTCGTGTATTGAGTTTTTTGAGGCTCAGTTTCTTACCACTGCCTAGTTCCTTGTGTGCGGGCGCGTTGTGTAAACTAGCTAGAGTTTATTAGGGGGTCTTGCGTCTAGTCGTTGTCTTAATCACGTTAATAACCGTTCCGGTCTCTGTACTCAGAACTTTCTGATATCCGTACTGGGGGGCGCCGTGCGAGGTTACTGCTGCATCATGGGCGTACCCCACTTTTCGAGTCTACCTACCATTCACATTTTTTGTTTTATGTTTCTGCAGATTCCGCCTCGTTCTCGGAGAGCTTTAGGCCTTCGGGGCACGCCGTTAATTTAACGCAAGAACGTTTCCCGACTGACCCAACACTGTTTTACTTTTCTTCTCTCCAAAGGGCTGAGGAGCCGATCGGCTACGGGGGGGCGTCTGGGGCCGTGAGGACAGCGGCGGACGGGGTTGGGGGCGCCTCTGGGGAAGGTAAGTCGTGGGATTAAATCAAGACCTGGAGGGGGGAGGCGGGGCTCGTGTAGGGTTGTCCGGAAAGTCGGGACGGGGAGGTTGGTTGTGGGGCATGTAGGTACGGTTCTGACGTTGCTGATTTGTTGGATTTACCCGCTCCCAGCATTTGCATCCTTTCCTCTACTCGATGCGCCTGCGGTCCGGTCGTACTCGGTGCTGTGTGAGAGTCCCATGGAACTTCCTTACCCATGGAACGTCCCATTTGTGCAAGTATCGATGGGAAAATAAGAACGTGCTCACGACCCCCTATCCTACAGCCATGAATCGGTGTTCGAGCGGTCGTTGTGCCGGTGATCTTGTCCCCTCAAAGCGCGGTTGGTTCGCGAGTTTTTCACTCCTGACGGACGGGACGAATCAACAACACCTTGCGTTTCGACCTCTCGTCATCACACGCGCTCTGAATGTTAAGGTGCCCTGATGTTCACATTGGAGCAACACACACACAAACTTGTAGTGATGCCGACTCACAGTGTGCGTCCCATATCGTGGTCTTCAGAAACATTTTTGAGTTTTCGGCCACGCTGAGACTGACGTCTTTTCATTGGTCACCCGGTTAGCGCGGTCAATGCTATTAGCAATAATGATACACACACTCACACCACGAAGGAGCTTCTCGGCAAGTGTCTCACGCGACATGCGTCCCCCGCCTTCTACCCACCCGCGTTCCGTTGACCAATCGGGGGACAGGAGGAGGCACTCGATCAGGGAGGGTTGCCAGACAGAGCGCCGTGGGGGGCTTGGGCTACGGTGCTGACACCCGTGGGGCAACGGTAAGCTTTTTTCTTTTGTTTTAGCTTGAATTTTAGCTTTGAAGTCCATGGTATGGACTTGCACGCCGATCTCCTTACAAGAGGCTTTTTGGCATCCAGCACGAGCGTGTTGACACCACGGGTCGGACATCAACAGTTGCTTTTTTTTTTTTTCTTTTATACTCGAGTACCATTGTTTCAGCGCAGACACTGGGTCGGACCGTACCAGCCGTTTTCTTTTTTTTTCTTTTATACTCGAGTATGTTTTCAGCGTAGAATCGAGTGTCATTTAAGCGTACATTCCCCGGCGTTTATCTCCGGATTAATGTGGACAGCGAAGTTGCACGAGCACGCCGTGAGTTAGTTTTTCTTTTAAATTTGGCTCTGTACCTTTTCCTGACCTTTTTCTGACCGCCGCCCCCCTTCGTTATCCTTTGGACGTATCATACGTCTCTGTCGCCTGTTTTGTTGTTGTTGTTGTTGTTGTTGTTGTAGACGGGTTCGCGACCAGGAGCTGCCCCAAGGGCCTCCGACAGGAGTCAACCGTCGCGATTCGAGGTGAGCGCTATGTAGTTTTTCCCCTCCACTCACTGAAAAGACTTGAGCACATCCCTTTCGGCTGTGGTTAATATCTCATAAGGGTAGTGTTTCTTCTTTGATTTGTGTGTATATTTTCTAAAAGCCGTCGGGGTTTTTCTAGCATTCCATCGGAACGTTGAGGGCTGCTTGTCGGTTGGACCGGGAAATGGCCATTACCATTACGAACGGGGAGACGGGGAAGATTTCGCTTTGTTGGCTCGTGGCTGAGTCCGTTCGGGTGCAAACGGAGCACATGTACATATTCTGGCAGAGAAACAACAGTAAAAAGCAATGATGTCGTCGTGCGAGTCCGCCGGCTGGGGCGTGGGACAAGTTCCAAGTGCCGAAAGGTGTACGGGTTGGTGCTGAGAAAAAATGATATGGCCAGATATGAACCAGAGCGGGGATGATCTAATCCACAATCTTCTGTAACCACGTTGGCGAGATTCTAGAGATGGGCATCAGGTCGGAGAAGACAGCACAACTTTGCGGCAGATCTAGTCGAGATTTGAGTGGGACAACGCCCACAAGAGCCGCGTAGCTAGTTGTAGCGCTGTGCCCATGTGCCGTATTGGAAGTATCGACCGAAGTTTGCCCCAGCTTGAAACAGAACCGCTACGTCGAAAACTTTAATGAAATATATTGGTCCAGCGTCGCGTGTAGGCCTTACCCCCTGTCTCCCATCCGATCCCCCTTCATGTCTCCCTTTCTTGCCTTTTTTTTTTGTTCGCTCGCAGGGGTGAAACCGGCCATCCGAGTCCAGACAAACAGGCGATTGATGATAAATCGAAGTTGTTAGGTTTGTGGTGGGGTGCAGGGGGGAACGTGGGGGGTGGAGGTGGAGGTGGAGGATGGGTGGTGGAAGAAAAATTAGCGCGCGTGTTTGAGGTGCCAGATCAGACGCGCGAATCCGGATGAAGAGGCAGGAGAGCGGTGCGGCGGATGTGGGAGATTTACGTTGCGGGATAGGTTGTACGGGGGAGGGCGTGCCGGATTCTGCTCTCCATGTTCGTTTCCCGCACCGCTCATGGGAGACCCGCGGCTGGTTTATGCCGGCCGCGGGGTACCCCTGATTGTCGTCGCCCCGTTGGTGGTTGATTGGCTCGGCGGTTTTGTGGTATTGGTGAGGCGGCGGGCCTGCGGTAACCTCTCCCGTCTGGTGGTGGTAATCGTTTTATTTCTCACGGCCAGCGTGCCCCCTGCGCTCTCGTCGTCGTCTGTCCTGTGTACTTGAGCGAGTGTTCGAACGTACCATGTTTTGGACTCGGCTGGGGGGGGGGGGGGGGGGGGT